CAGGGAGCCCGATGCGGGACTCGATCCAGGGACTCCAGGATCATGACCTGAGCCGAAGGCAGTCGCTTAACCAACTGAGCCACCCAGGTGCCCGATATTTAAGAATTTCTAATAAGGGAAATAAATATAACCCACATAAAACAAAGCTCTGTGGGGTTCTTTGTAATTTTAAGAGTATAGAGGGATCCTAAGACCAAAAAATTTGGAATTGTTGCTTTAGGTCTAATTATTGTAATTATACTATGCTATAATAGATATAAGCTTGAGTGTTTTAAAAAGCCAAAAGCATAATGAAACAAAAAGGTACAGGGGTTTGTAGAGTCATAATAAAAAAGTACATAACAACCTGATCTTATCTTAACAGAGGTAATTCTGGGGATATTTAAAAAAAAAAGAGTTCAGGGCGCCTGGGTGGCTCAGTTGGTTAAGCGACTGCCTTCGGCTCAGGTCATGATCCTGGAGTCCCAGGATCAAGTTCCGCATCGGGCTCCCTGCTCAGCGGGGGGTCTGCTTCTCCCTCTGACCCTCCCCCCCTCATACTCTATCTCATTCTCTCTCTCTCTCTCAAATAAATAAATAAAATCTTTAAAAAAAAAAAAAAAGAGTTCAGGAAACAAGTGAAAAATCTATTAGTGAGTATCAGGTTACAATACTGGCATGTAAACTGAATGGTAATGCAAAAGGCATATTTACAATTAAATGGGGCAAATAAATTTTTTCTATTCATGTTGTGAATAATTTTTTTAGGTGATGAGCATGGACTCAAAGTTTAGAAAAGAGGGGAAGGGCAACATATAATCAAGAAAGAACAGCTGAACATGGAGAAAATAAAGGAAGTAAATGAAGCAAACTATAAAATAGGAAGCTAAAGAAATTAGAAGACAAAGCCTAATAATAGCTAGATTCCTTTTTTACAATTAGGAAACCTAAGACAGAGGAGAAAGTAAAGGTACATCTGAAAAATGGGTGTAGTATGGTTCAAGAGTTAGTGATGAGAGGCACCAAGAAAAACAAAAAAATGTGTAGTCAATCAAAAAAAACTTGGAGGCAGAAGTGCTGAGCTCTTTCCTTACAAAATTCAGAAGTATGTACTGTAAAGCATAATTCACATATTCATTTCTATGGCAAGAGCAAAAAGCCTGTATGCAAAAACTGAATAATCTATTTTGACCAGCAAAGCATAAGTACAATTTATGTTGTCAAGGAAAGAAAAGATAAAGACCTCTTTAGAATTTACAACACAGGTGTTCCCCCCCCCCACCAAACCCCCCTCCCCGCAAAAAAAAAAAAAAAAAAAGCATCTAATAGGGAAATGGGCAAGGGAAAGAGTCAAAAAAAAAAAAAATGCAAGCAACAAAGTGTGTTTAAAAAGAATCTAGCTAAGCAGCACTCACAAAAGAGAATTACTTTGCTATCCAGCATCACTAAAATTCTGCATAAATCCAAATACTTTATAAACACTGCCATAATCTATTCCTAGCCGAAACAGCTTTAAGTCTAAATTATGTTATCTATAAGCAATTATTTAAAATAAATGCTGAAAGATGCACCTAATTTTCTGAAATTTTTAAGTGTTTCTTAAAGTAAGGTATTGTTTACTACCAAGAGTTCAATATCAAAATCTCTAAAAGAAGTGAATTTAGAGATTTACCAATGATATACGTAAAATGTCTCTAACTACAGTTACCGCTTCATTAACAAACAGCATGCAATAAAAATTTGGTTTCCATTATTTGAACCACTGTGAGCTTTTCAGACATGAAAAGTTCGCAAAAGCCTGATCTGAAACAACAGGCGGACTTCATAATATAATATTTGAATTGATTAGTTGAAGGATTAAGTTTATCACTATTGAAAACTCCTAAGTACCTTTCATAAATAGTGCCATTAAATATGTATTTTGTGCAGTGTAAACAAAAGCTTTGGAAGTACTTTAGATTTACCAATTTAATCTAAGAAAACCCATACAATACTAAGTATAGAGGAAGAATACTAAGAAGAATACCCAAAATGTAAAGCCACTTGAATATTTCAACTGATTACCATCTTTCTTTAACCTCTTTTCAAACCCCGTAGTCACCTTTTAAACAAGGCTTGAAAATATGTATAGTTTGACAATAGTAATAAGCCTAAAATTCATTAAGTTAATTCAGTACTGAAGTAACAAAATTTTAAGTAAACCACAAAGTAAATTTTGCCTTGATGATACAAAAGGAATCAAAGGTTCTACAAAGGTGCACGTTTCACATTTTTAAAGTGTGCTGTCTGCATCTAAACTACTACAGATGCTAAAAGTAAAAAAATCAAGAACTTTATTTAAAAACAGATTTAAGCAGTCATTTTCAAGTGCTACAATACTTTTCACTTGTAAAATTTACTAATGCAGAGAAACATCTTCACAGACTGGTAATTCTCTATAAAAGACTTGCTCTATTAAGGCTCTGTTGCTCTGAGGCCAAGTATAAGCCATATAAGGAAACTGAAGTTCAATGCCATTTATTTTGTTCTGCTCTTTCCGATGCCCAAGAATAACCTCTTTCGTTGCTTAATATTACATCCCCAAATCATAAAGCAGATCACTTATACACTTTAAATTCCTTCATAAAGCTATTTTGACTTAACAGGAATGACTTGATGGCTCACAATCTTACCAACACAAATAAACAAATTTTTAAAAAGGATCTCCAGAGACTACACTCTGAGGGGAAAAAATCAAAACAATATATAGTAATATTTAAAAGACTCCCATTTTGAAATGTACTTAACATCATAACAAGCTGTGAAATAAACTGATCCTGCTCTTCAAAAGCTATCTTTTCTTTGAACTAAAGAGTGTCAACTATTTTTCATGGGGTAGCATGAGCAAACTAAATATTAATTTATAGTTAAGATACACCTACCAACAGGATGCCATACTTATTTAATATTTATTCCAAAGCACGGTATTATGTTTCACCTCCTTTACCACAGAAATACTGACAAAAAAAAATTAAGACACACTAAAACACCAATAAAAAAGCCCTTTGTGTTTGTTGTGAACTAGTTTTTTCTTTAAGGACTACTGATTGGTTCAAAAGTGTTTATAACTCTGACTGGCGGAATGTCTCCCATGCTTCACTAATTCCTGCTACCACTGTAGGTACCTATCAGTTACTAGACAGAACCGGCCAAAACATTTGGACCAATACAAAAATGTAAAAAAGTACTATTCTAAAAGAACTGATGTTTATTATAATCAATACTTCCATAAAAATCCTTTAAAGCGTTTTACCTCCCTTTCTCTATATATTCCGTTCTTAACTACAGAGAAGTCCTATCAGATCAGAGTACTTACGGGTGTATTTTTGTTTTTGTTTTTTAATTACAACTCTGTTTATCCATAATACTCTCTCCTTCTCCTTTCTAGGTCCACTTACAAGAAAAATTAAGCAGACACTTCCTTTCGATTAATTAACCAAATAAGTATCATAAGATTGTAAACGTCTGAAAGGAGCCATTTACTGAAAAAAATACATCTCCCACCTAAAAAACAAAAACAAAAAATAAGAAGGGCAGTGTTTGTTTCTAAAATCCAACCAAATACGTTTCTAAGGGTTGCAACTAAAAATAACTCTATATACAATTAACGCAAAAGTCAAAAAATCGGTAACAGTATAAACAAATGTGGCAGCCATCTCAACAACAGTAAATCCCTCGCTGCAGCGACCTAACTTTTTTCCAAAACAGAAGTTGCCAGGTTCCGTGACTTAATAAATAAAAAAATATACATTGTATATGTTTTAGGAAACTAAAACTTCTGGACCTAGTGCTGAACAAAGGCACTCTTTCTTCCGATTGCTTAAAACTTTTCGTCTCACCACATTCTTAGAATCTCTTCTAAAGTAACCAGAGTCCAGATGGTAGAAGGGGGGAAAAATCAGTTCCACTATTTAGCAACTGAAATACTATCCACTTCGACACTACAAAAGATTAATTTAGGGCAACTGGGGAAATAGTGAGAAACCCTAAAGGACCCTCTCTTTCCTGGCCCAAAAGCTTTGTAACTTCCAGACACACTTTCGGTGAAAATTACCTTTCGGTCGGGCAGTGTCTCAGGGCAGCTTTTTCAAGGCTTCGCCTGACATGACTTCCTTCCCTTCATTAGTCAGTTTGGATCCAGCCGAATTTCTCTCTCCGGTGAGAGCGGATGTGGGGTGGCCTCCCGCAGTAGGACGAGTAGGTGGCTTTGGAGGGGGCTGGGAAGCGGGCTGGTTTCCTGGTCTCAAGTTATACAGGAGTTTCCCAGCCCCAACTAGGATCTCCGCGGAAAAAAAAACTTTTCACTCGTGACACCGCCCGGAATTACCGTGCGAAACTCACTTCCTGCCTTGGCGCAGAAGCAGGATCCAGCTCGGTCCACGGGAACCCGGAAAACCAGCTCCGCGCGCGCCGGGGAGGGGGAGGGCAGGGGGCGTCCGCGGAGAGCCTGGAGCTCCGGGCGTCCGGCGCGCCCCGCACACCCGACGGCGGCGGAACCCGGCCGGCGGGGACCAAGA